GGATGGTTCTGCAGATCAACCAGAAGAAGAAGATGAATAAACAGTAGGAGAAAGAAAAAAAATATGCCCTAGAGCTCTGATACCATGAAAAAACTTTAGAATCAGAGTATAGGTTGATGTTTAATCTTTGTATCAGACAAGAGAAATCAAAAAAAGTGCTGGAGAAAACTTCTCCATCTTGTGTTATTCAGATCCAAACCCTTGCTGCAGTCTTATACAAATAGCGTGAATAAGCTTAGAAGGAAAGTGAATCAATTGGAAAAAGGAACATGCAACAGAACATAATTAGAAAAGGAAAACATAATATCTCCTCTGTGTAGATGCCGAAACCTTAGTGTCATAAGTCAATCTTCACCCCAAGATCACTCCAAGGACTATGCCATTCATCAACAACACCATATTGATTCTCACACACGTCTGTTTGCATCACAGACACCATTTGAGCATCTTCATGGTCTTCTTTGGAAACTTGGTCTGTCATAGCTTGATCCTTGTGAAGTTGTGGTTCAACATTTTGCAAGATTTGGAAACTGTTGTTGACCGCTTTCCTCGAGCCCAAGATTCTTTGTTCCGCGTCAAGGCATCTTTAGCCACACAGCACAAGTCCGATAGCCTAAGGGAGTCTTCGAGCAATTCATCTACGAGTTTTCTTGTGATGCTCTCTTGCAAAGATGGCCTTTCGGGCAAGCAACTTGTCGGCAGAATCATGCACATCTCGAAGGGAGTCCAGTGGGTTACAGACTTCAGAGGATGAAGATGAAGATCTTGAAGAGTCGATTCTCTCGAGTTTCAAATTCGCCAAAAATGTTTTTACGAAGGTGTAGAAAATGATTTCTACTGTATATGTTTTTTTTTAACAAACGGACGTTGAATTCTCCTTAGTTGCGTTAAAGTTTTTAGATATATAAATATATAGTAAACTCATTTTTTAAAGAAAAAATCCCAAAAAAAACACTGGACTTTTCAATTTTGACAAAAAAAACACTCAACTTTATTTTTTATCAAATAAATATTAAATTTTTTAAAAGAATCTAAAAAAACACTGAACTTTTTAGGTGATCCAAAAAATACATGAACTTTTCTCCGATTATAAAAAAAACACTGAACTTTGTTAGTGATCCAAAAAAATACATGAACTTTTTTCGATTGTCAAAAAAAACAAAGAAAAATAATCTGACGTATTTGCATCTGATTGTGCCACGTCAGTCATTTTGTTTATTTTGACAATCGTTGAAGAGTTAAGTGTTTATTTTGTCAAACTTAAAAAGTTTAATGTTTATTTGATAAAATAAAAACTTTAGTTTTTTTTGTCAAGTTCAGTGTTTTTTTTTTGGATTTTCCCTTTTTTAAATTTGAACTTTGTAAATATTATTCGGATTCTGAAACCTTAACGAAATATAGTTTGACTATTTTACGAACAATTGGTAGGAAACGCATACTTGCATGGACCCAAAACGCACTTTGTAACAATTAACGGATTCGTCTGTTCTACAAGAGCCACACGAAATGCAACAAACTAGTTTTCTTAAAGCACTGTTCACGCAAGCCACCGGGCCATGCATGCGCCAGATCTCATCATCATCCATAAGTAAACGATGTTTTCATATTATTAAAAAATAAAAACAACAATTAAGTAGATGGTTATAGAGTTTGATATGTTGTGCAACTTGAAGAAGAAAAAAACTCAATTTGTTCAGTCGAAATTACATTTTTATTTTCGAAATATATTTCTATCAAACGGTTGTTTTGACCGACACACAACGAGCCCATAGAACATCTTTCTTTGCCAAATATTCGGGTTCACGGGCGATGAAATTTGGTCTGTCTGCCATGTATTTGATAAGAGTATCATGGCAGACCTTCCCCTCTAGGACAAGTTCGCGGCAACAAGCATCGGAGACGGCTCCGTTCCAGAAAATCTCTTCGACTATATCCAACGTACACTTTGGAGACATTTTGGTGAGACATTCGTCCCATAACTGCTTCGGTTCCCCTTCCTCAATAGCAAATACAGGTAGAGATGCATATACCATAGCTACAACGGCTAAGGCGACAACGATCTTGATATTGAGTTTTGTCATCTTCTCCGAATGTGTTTGGATTTGATTAGTTTTCTAATATGCTATGCTTTTGTTTTTCTTGATATGAGAATTGAAGTAGGAGTGGTATTTATATACAAGCAATTATAAAGCGTTAGTAAACTGAATTAAATGATAAGGTACTCTTAACTCTTATAGCATTTATTATTGGGGAGTTTCTTTTATTTTTTGTTCGCATGGATTGAATCTGTAAAACGTTGGTAATTATCATGCCTAACCGGGTAGATTAATTGATCATAAACCGGTTTGATGGCGCCATGTGTTTAGCTAATCATAAATGTATGGAAAATGACTTATTAATGCTCACAATTTTGAACAAGTTTGATGCGTATTCTCAAATAAATGGGACAACCATCTATAAGAAAATTTGATTTCTTGATAGATAAGTACGTTATTAAAAAAAAATTAAGGTCAATGGATAGTTTTCTACGCCCTATTTATCTCATAGAAAAAATCGTTAGGTTTCATTATTTTTTTCAATCTTATAACAAATATTAAATAAAAAATGAGAGAAACAAAGATCATATCTATTTTGTTCTTGAAAGATATTCCACATATACGTCAACTATATCTTATATGAATAATGTGTCCAACGTCCCCCGTCTTGGTCCATAGCTCGAGTTTCGTCCGTGTCCTTCCATGAGTTCCTATCGCATGCCCCGTCCGTGCCGGCATCTTCTCTGTCCCAATGAACGATGGTAAGTCCGATGTCCTCTTCACGAAATCTTATTGAAATATGTATAATTAGTTTCCTATCTAAAGTAATAATTAGTTATAAGTTTATTTTTTTTAAACCCTTTCTGAAAATTGTATTGATCAAAGAACATTTTTGTGTCATTTTTTTTTTCTCAACAATAATGTTATATGTATCCGAACTGTCGGATTTGAACTAGCGAGATAATAATTGATCTCCAATTCGACTACCATCATCCGTTCTACCAACTGATCTAAGGTCGGTTTATTTAAGGTGCTTAACTGATACTATGATCCTTGAACTGGGGGAGCAAGAGCAAGAAGAGGAGTTGCTAACTATTTCAATAGCTTTTTGTGCTAACGCAAATATTTAAGGATAATCTATCACTCAATGTAAATCCGATTATGCTTTATACCTTTCGTATTCTTGTAGAAATAAAGTATGTAATTCCTATCAAGTTTGTGTCGGACAACATAAGAGTTAGTATGGGGTCGACTTTAAGAGTTGAATTAAGTTGGTCGGATTTGTTTTTGTTGGATCCCGTTGTCAACTTTACCTTCAAACAAGTGATCGCTTCATTTGTACAATCTAAAAGACGTTATCTTGATCTAGATTATGTGGACAAAAGTTAAAACTACGGTTTCGGACAATATATATGAGATTTAGGAAGTTTGATTTCAAACGATGAGTTCATTTTATAAAACAATAATCAGAGAATTATATAGATAGATGTGTTGAGAAACTTGAAGAGGAAAAAAAACACAATTTGTTTAGTCGAAATCACATTTTTATTTTTGAAATAGATTTCTATCAAACGGTTGTTTTGATCGACACACAACGAGTCCATAGCGCATCCTTCTTTGCCAAATACTCGGGTTCACGGGCGATGAAACTTGGTCTATCTGCCATGTATTTGATTAGAGTGTCATGGCAAACCTTTCCCTCTAGGACAAGCTCGCGACAACAAACATCGGAAACAGTTCCATTCCAGAAAATCTCTTCGACTATATCCAACGTACACTTTGGAGACATTTTGGTGAGACATTCATCCCACAGTTGTTTCGGTTCTCCTTCTTCAATAGCAAAGATGGGTAGAGATGCATATACCACAGATACAACGGCTAAGGCGACAACGATCTTGATGTTGAGTTTTGTCATCTTCTCCAAATGTGTTTGGATTCGATCAATTTTCTATAATATGATATGCTTTTGTCTTTCTTGATATGAAAATTGAAATAGGAGTGGTATTTATATATGCAATCAATCATAAAAGGGTTAGTAAACTGAATTAATGATCCTTTTAAGGTATTGTTAACTCTTACATCATTTTATTATTGGGGAGTTTCTTTTATTTTTTTCCAATGAATTGAATGTTGTAAACGTTGCTAACAATTACAATGCCTTGTGATAGAAGATATTCTTAATCATTCAACTTCCCCGTACAAGAAATATCGGTCAACCACAATTCCTATGCATAACTTCTTCTGTCATAATGTTAATAACTTACATTGTTGCAATGATACAAGAAATTTTAATTTTATGTAATAGCTTATATATATATATATATATATATATATCACGAATAGGACACGCGTGTATCAACAAAATCACAATTCTTTTATTGCGATGAAAAGAGAGAGAAAAAAAATAAACAATAGTTTGACTGGGCATGTTCCGCGAGACAAAAAAAAAAGATAAAATAAAATAAATCACCGTACAGGTCCACGTCAGCATATAGCCGACTCGCCGTTGGTCAACGACTATGGACGATTAACCGACGCAAAAGAATCACCAGTGACCGAGGAGCTCTTTAAAACTACTATTTTACCCTTTCTCTGGTTCTGTTTCACATCTTTGCCCTCCATATATGGATTCCACAAAATATTTATCTTATCCTTAGAATAAATCATGTAAACGCAATAAACGTATGCGCTACATAATAAAGATTGAAATAATGATTTAATAACGTGTTTTTTTATATTAAAAATGAATGATTAGAGCTATATTATAACTTGAGCCACTCAAAAAGTGTATACTATTTGTTGACTAGAATATATATAAAAAAAAAGGCCATTTAACATTAATTTAAAGGAAGGTTAGTATCGGGAAAGTGAAATAAAATCCAGGGGTAAAATAGGTAATATAGTATAAATAAAGAAAAGAAAAATATAAAATCCCAGGGATAATCATGTAAAGCTGGACGGAGAGAGACATTGCCTGTTCAAATCAAAATCCTTTTCTTCTTTTGGTCTCCTCTTCTCTCTCTCTCGCTGGCTCTCGCTTGCTCTGCATTTGAGCATAAGCTTCTTCTACAATGCAGGTGAGCTTCACTATGCTTCATACCCAAGTAAAAAAGACAACGAATTTCATGTCTGCAATTCAATTTTTTGTTGAGCTAAGAGATTTTGGTAACCGAAACCTCTTCTTCTTCTTTTTTTTTGTTGTAATTATTGGCAGACGAGAACTGTTCAAGTAAAGAGCATTTCAGATCTAGCAACCGAGAGAGAGATTCACGAGTTTTTCTCCTTTTCGGGAGACATCGAGCACATTGAGATCCACGGGTACGTGTTTCTTCCCTTTGTTTCGTTGTAATTTTCACGGCTTTGATGTGTTGTTGGAGTTCTCGCTATTTCGATGAGCTGAATTGTTGTGGGTATTCGCTGAAACGATCAGATGTGGTCGAGATTTTAGCATAATCCAAGTGTTTATGATGTTGGGATTCTGGTTGCAGAGAAGCTGGGGGGTCCAGAATCGCCTATGTTACGTTTAGAGATCCTAAAGCACTTGAAATCGCGTTATTATTATCGGTATGTGATTGTTACTTCATTGCCTTCTTTTGTTCAATATCCTTAATTCAAGCATTCTTTTCTTCTTTCAACCTGGTTATAGTTGATCATAGACTCAGGACTTGTAATGTTCCTGGAGGCAACTTGGTTCAGGGGATTGGCTACATTGAACTGGAGTAGACATTGAAACTGAGATATTGATTTCCCAGATTTCGGTTCAGTAGATTGGGACATGGGAGAACAAGAAGATTATGGTTGCTTTTTGTGAATTGGGTGAAGCTGGTTTTGGTTAAGTTTGAGTGATTGATGAAGAGATCGACACTGGAAATGTATCTTACTTAAATTCTGTGATACATAAGAGGTTGTGTAAGATTTTAATCTCCTGGATACATGACCTAATGAATAGTTGTTTTTGAATTCTTGAACAAGTATTAACTTGTTTGTGAGTTCTTGAGAAGTAAATACATACATACATACATACATACATCCATACATACATACATGCATACATACATACATACATACATACATGCATACATGCATACATACATGCATACATGCATACATACATACATACATACATACATACATACTTACATACATACATACATACATACATACATACATACATACATACATACATACATACTTACATACATACATACATACATACATACATACATACATACATACATACTTACATACATACATATATGTCTGGCTATGGCTTAAAATATTGTGCTACAGAAGTTAAATTCCAGCAAGTTTAATGGCATGGGTATTTTCCTCTTGTGAAGTTATCATTTACTGGAATGATCTATGCTGTAATATTTCGCAGCGCTCTGAATGCTTACAGAAGTTTAACTTGTTTACGCAGGGAGCGACGATAGTAGACCGTATAGTTACAATAACTCCAGCTGAAAACTATACCCCGAATCGGGAAATGCAGGTTGGTGGTAGACCAAATCAAAATCCTTTGCGTGTGCTTTAGGAATCTACTTATATATTTTTTTAAATTTTGTCCATGAAGGAGGTAAGAATGGTGGAGAATGCAGTTTCCATGGCTCCTCCAGAGAGTAGCACAGAGACAAGCGAGGTAACGAATAACATTCCAGTTCTCTTTCATTCATCAATGGCTTGATGAAATAAAGGGATCCGTACCATCCAAATTTATTTATTTCTTATTGCATGGCAAGCGACGTTCATTGCCTCATTGCTTGGATTCAATATGTACAACCGATTGCTTGGGTTTCCATTTCCTACGAAATTTAAATTAGAGTTTTAAAAGCCTCGAGTTAACTGACTGCGATCGTCGAAAAGTAAAACCGATTGATCATTTTATAAATTGTTTCTTTTACGGTAATGTCCACCAGAAGAAAAAAAAAAGTGGCAGCTCTTATGTGGGACGACTTCCAAAGCACCTTCGTTTTACTGAATAAGCACTCTTGACAGGCGAAGACTTCCGTTGACGGCAACGGCAGAGCATATGTCAGCAAAGCACAAGATGTGGTTGCAACTGTTTTGGCCAAAGGTTCGGCACTCGGGCAAGATGCAATGAATAAAGCAAAGGCTTTCGATGAAAAACACAGATTAACAGCCAGTGCTTCGGCTAAAGTCATGTCCTTTGACAAGAGAGTTCGACTTACAGAGAAATTGACGGTCGGGATTTCAGCTGTTAATGAGAAAGTAAAATCTGTTGATCAAAGGCTTCACGTCTCCGATAAAACCATGGCTGCGATATTTGCAGCAGAGAAGAAATTAAATGACACCGGTTCTGCAGTCAAATCAAGCAGGCATGAAATTATTACCTCTGAAATATATATATATATATACACTATATATGCGCTTGATGAATTCTGATTTTTTTGGCATCTTCACCTGCACCTGCACAGGTACGTGACTGCAGGAGCTGCCTGGTTCAGCGGTGCTTTCAGCAAAGTAGCGAGAGTAGGTCAGGTCGCCGGATCAAAAACCAGAGAGAAGTTCAATATGGCCATCTCAAACTTGACCTCCAAGGTGAGCCACCGCTTCCAATTTTATCGTTGCCTGGTCCATCATATTATTCAGTCTAATAATCGAATCCAATCACAGTGTAGAAAACACCGATGTTTACCTCATAATTGTGTTGATCATATATATGAAAAAATCAGAAATACCGAGCCGTGTTTTAACATTAGTCGTAATGTGAGGGAACACATGGACAAGAATTTGTAGTAGTTTGGTCCTTTGATAGTGAACAAGAATAAGGGTTATGTTGTGTCTGTATAAGAACATGACCCTTCATGTAGGAAGTTAATTTAGGGACTAGAGGGATGAATTAATGAATTCGGTACACACAGAGAGAGTGATGCATGAATCAATTTATTTCTGCAGTTTCTTGTTGTAAGGCTCTGTAAGATCTGTTCATACACAATTTTCAGTGGCATGACGCAAGATGTTTTTACCCAAATGTGTATTGCTCTTGATTTCAAATGCCTGCTCTTGTAATCTTCAAGAAAATTCAATGGAACGACTTTCCATAGATGCTTGGAAAAACACATAACACTCTCACTGTGGGGTTGAGTGCAGGATCCTCCTATTGCTGTGTAGCGAAAAGCTCGGGATTTCTCTCGATTCAATCGGGTAACCCTTTCTCTCGATCCCGGGCATCTGTGCATTACATTTTTTGGGAACAAATTTTGTGTGAAATCGCATCTCCCTTCTCTAATGGTTTACAATCATAATCTTGTGGTCTGATGTCTTGTCCTCCCATTACATTGATTGCATTGTGGAGAAAGAAACTGTCTCACTTTCCTCCTTCCATGTGTGGGTTTGTATGTAAGCTTAGTTCTGTCTGATCCTCGTATGTTTAAAGACATTGAAAAATTCAGTGACATACATTTTTTTCCCCCTACAATTGTTCAAGTTTTAGTTTTCTTAAGTGATTAATCATTAATTTTAATTGTTAAAATATTGTTAAAATATTACAATCAGTTTTATTATAATTATATATTGATGCAAAAAAAAAAATTGTTCAACCCAGATTCGTTAGAATTAAATTTATTCAAAGTCCCCAAGACGTTGAAGGGATATATTATAAATAGATGTGGCAATATCATACAAATGCACCGTCACAAGAAGATGATAATGCAAATAAAACGACTTCGATATCTACAAATATGATTAAAGATGAAAATTCATTTGTATATTTAGTGTAAGTTCAATTAATTAATAAAATTAAAGGCTTATTATCTTTTCCTTTGAAATCCACTATAGTATAGCCAAAAAAATGATTTAAAAAAATAAAGTTTTTTAATGCAAGTAACAACGACTGATTGAATCAAACAAAATTCAGCATGGGAGACAGAGACATAGTTAGGTATCAATCAAATTTCTACAGAAAAAAAAACATTGATAGAATTTCTTAGCAAATACATACAAATTTAAGATTTTTAATTTTTCGTACCTTTTTTTTACAAAAAAAAAATACTAAATAAATAAAGATAACAGAACTTTAGAAACTATACATATGTTCATAAATTTGTATGTATATAATAATTTGCTTATTAGATACAAAAACATTTACCCAAATCCTCGTCAAGAACAACAGTTTAACATAGTTCTTCAACAATACAGCTTTGTTCTAAGGGAGATTTTCATTTGTCAACTTCATGATCGTCTGAATCGGGCAAGCACTTGTACGAATCCTCGGCACGGTCTTGGGTTCACCGATTTCTTTCACAATAATGGTTGTTTCCGATTTCGGTTCGGTATTTGTCAATTTTGTTTTGGTTCGATAAATTGTATCAAACTAGGGTCGAATGTTAATCGACTTGATTTGGTTTAGTATCAGTCCGGCGAAAAGAATTTAAACTTGATATTCACATATAGATTCGTGAATAAGATCGGATAATTCAACTTTTGGTTCGGTTCTTATCGAATTTGGTATCTATCGAGTTTAGTTTGAAAACGATTTACTCGATTATACAAAAAATTATACCAATTTAGTGCCGAATGTTATTAGGTCCGGTCCGGTACCATCAACAAGAACAGAAACTGCGAGCCTGCCTTGAAGTTCTTTCATCCCCTTAGTTTACTTCGCCACCGGGAAAAGCTGTTAGAAAATCTGGGATATAAAAAGATGAACAAGAAAAGTAAATCGGGAACCGGATAACTTTTCAAGGCGTGATACACTTTCCTAAAAATGTTATTCCGTCCTATACGAGCAAAGGACTTCCCGGAATACGTTTTTGAGATACAATGAAGAGAGAAATGATCTTAGTTTGCTCTACTAAGAACACAAACACAAGAAATCGGAAGAAGAAGATGAACAAAAGGCTTTTGTGAGTGTCTTGCAAGAACAATCACAAAAGTGCTCTCAAATCTCTCAAAAAACGAATTAGATCTGTTCTCTCTCGTGTTAGAATGTCTAAGGGTGTTTATAAACACTCCAAATGTCGAAAGGTGTGAAGAAATCGGAAGTTTTCCCGAACGGTCGCGATTTTTCGTTATTTCCGAACTGCTCAGAAAAAACGGGTTGTCCGCCTGTTTTTCCGAACTACCCGCCCGTTTGTTCCCGAACTGTTCAGAAAAAAACGGGCTGTCCTCCCGTTTTTTCGAGCTACCGCCCATTTATTTATGAGCTTTATTCCTCAGAAAAAACATGCTGCCAGCTCATATTTCCGAGCTGCCCTCCCATTTTTTCTGAGATCACTCAAAACGTTCAAAACCGAACGTAAACTCTTCCGACGAATCCTTAACATAAAACCAATTCATGGCACGTCTTTTACAAGCATTTAACTCCTCCACCATACTTGTAATACACGTGAAGTATGAATCCTTTTGAGAGATTCTAAATTCCCATTCATTTGCTCTAAAAATCCCAACAAAAGCCACGTGGCACATGACGAGAAGCTCCAGGAACTCCTCGTCCACGCGCCACTGCCGTCCGTCCACGTGTCACTGACGTTGACGTGGACCACTCCAAAGCCGCACATGTGGACCACTCCAAGGCCGCACATGTGGACGTACATGCGCTTCTGTTCGTCGGATTATTTCGATCCTATATAGTACCTCTAATACGTACATAGGCATCGTCGTTGTCTTATCCGTGTATCGTATTTTCATAGGATTTTACGATATTTAATTCCTCTACAATACCCATAATAATACGTATTACACAAATCTCATGAACCAACATTTTTACCTTTTTAACACCGTTTCCATAAATCATTAAACAGATGAAAAAGTACAAATTTGGAGGAAGTCTCCCATCCCAGTTAGAAAATGACAAGTCGGGCCTATACGAGATTGTGCCTTTAATTCTTTTTGAGGTCTGAACTTCTCTTTGAACCGATTAATTTCGGTTGTTTTACATGTTCTATCTGGTTTACCGACAACTGTATAGAGATCGGGAGATTTACTGTCCGAGACGTTATCCATTCCGCGGGGTCGAACGGGTGTCCGACGCGAAAGACTGTGAGATGGGTTCCACCTTTGAACAAAAAAATCAAATTTGCGTCCAATGATAACAATTTATTCTTCCGGAGAAATCGGGCTTCATATCAACCGTTCACTTATTTTTGGATTTGGTTATTTCGCATTTATAAAAATCACATCAAATTTTATCAGAATGTCCACTTTTAATTATCAGAATTAAAGAGAGGAAATAATTCTGGCCAAAAAGGAAAAGGACGTGAACACGACGACGAGTCAACAAATTCATGTGAACGCAGAGACCATCTCCCTTTTCTTTTCACCTTCTTGACAACGAAAGCTTAACTATCAGATTGGCTGTTTGGAAGAAGAGAATACAGCGAATAGAAAACGACCCACGTCTCATAATTGGCAGGTTGCATCAATTTCAAAAAATAATCTTTTAACATATTTTTGTAATTCCGTAATCCGAAAGGGGGGAAAAAGATCGTTTAGTCCAGCACCAAAGGAACTAAAACGAATCTACAACTCTCGAAACGCACCGTTTCAGCCGTGTGGAGCCATGCATGGATATTTCATTTCATGTGATAAGTAACCCTAGTGGGGGGAGACTAGGGTTTCTTTTCTTTTCTTTTTTTTTTTTAATATACACCACTTTTCAATTATTACGAAATTGATGCAATAATCTTACGTGGCCTTGTGTCACGCTCATGTATGTATCTTGTAATAATATTCTTGGACAGCTTCTCTCTCTAGAATTTGTATTTATAAATGAAATATTTCTATGCAGGCGTAATGTTAAAATTAATTAATTATATAAATCAGTATGTACCAATTGCATGCTAGCTTCTCTACTAATTGCGAGCTATGCGCATCAAAGGATTCAATTTTGAGTCGGTGCACTTAAGATTAGGACTAAAATATTCTAACAATCAATTATTAGATTATAGATATGATACCTCTCTATGATTTTGGGACGTAAACAACGAAAACCCTATATATATATATAGGCCAGTGATCACTCAATAGTCTCAATCAAAAGTATCAAAAATCCTTTCTTCTCAAAAACATTATATTAATTTAATTAATTGATTTTATATGATATGATATGATATGATATGATATAAGAAAAATCCGGACGCATGTTTCGGTGTATAGCATGAGAAATCATGAACAAAAAACATGCTCAAACAATTAATTGAAGATTGGCCCTTCGCTTAGTGTAAAGAGTTATTCATGCTTGTTTCTTGCGTTGTGTTTTCCGTAAATTTGATGCTTGATTCAATCAAATATACATACATACATACATACATATGTGTGTATATATATATATATATAGAAACACAAGTAGAAAGTCTCTTCTTCATTTCCAAGGGTCAAGTAGGATTGGCCTCTTGGTCGTACACGTTCCACGCTTCTTTGTCCCTTTTTTTTCCCCAAGAGATAAAGATTAAACCCCTAATCACCAAGCAATTTCCAAACTGTACATATCCTTGTAATTTACTTATCATCGTTTTATTTTTGTTCCAACATTTTTCTCAACACTGATAACCCCATTGAAAACGATACATGCAATAATTTGGACCGACACTTCCAAGTGCAAATATCACATGATTTGAGTTTCGGGATAGATGATTTAGCTTCAATAACTATTAGATTTGATTCAAATGCAATATTCATTTTCTTATTCTTTCGATATGCATCTTCCTAATTTAGGGTTCACCAGCAAATTTGGATAAGAATTTAAATATGAAAACTAAATAAAGCTTCTTTTGGGTTGAAAATACGAATCAGACAAAAGTAGTTTAGGACAAAAATGAAGATAGGGGGGATATTTTGGAACTTCATTCTAACATGACCAAAAAACGAATCGATTATAAAACCGAACGACCAAACAAAAATCGTTTAAAAATTAAATCTTTTTAATGAAATCAAATTTTAATATCAAAATTCCATATAAAATTGATTATAATAATTTCCAAAAACTAAAAAAATAATAAAATCAAAATCTCAAACATTCATCCGGAGGTTTGTATGGATTCAACTTCAGAACTAGATCTGTATAATGTATATGGACAAAAAAGTAAAATAATGAAATTTGTTTGACAGCTCATTGGAGGAGAATTGCTCAGGCAATATAGCCTCGGAATTCTCATAAGCACATAGTTTTCATAACCCTATTTACCTTTTCCAATGCACCTTTTTTGGATAATAGTTTATTTAGTTATTAAATGTAATTCAATAATCAAATCTTCCGATATATATACACACATACACACACACACACACGAAATACGAGTATATTGTCTTATACAATAATAAGATAAGTTGTTTACAAACTATACGGTTTGTTAGCTGTCTCAAAACAGATATTGAAACATAAATTTTAAAATTAGGTTTGGTGTTTTGAAATTGTTTTTGTTAATCCTTTACAACAACAAAAATCTATTGAACTTTGGTTATCAAAAAAAAAAAAAATCTATTGAGCTTTATATAATAATCCGTGACAAATATTAAATATACAGGTTTTCCAGTTTAGTACAAGACTTTAAAAGAGTTTTTAGCATTATCCTATATCCGTCTGAACTCTAAGTATTACAGGTGGTTCTATATCAATTTTAATAAATACAGAAGCAATAATTTCTGTTATAATCAATTTTTTTTCAATAATCTCTATAAATAAACTCAAGTTATAATAACGAATTTAATTGTAATACTTAATCGGTCCAAATTGAAAAAAAAAAGATTAATCAGTTGATTAGTACAGTACAAGCCGGCTAGTCTCGCAAGCCCTAGGATATAATTGTGTTGGGTTCAAATAGGTTAAATATTATGCAAATACTTTATATATATATATATATATATATAATCATATCTAACATGTAATCAGATTTTGAAAAAATTTCGTGAAAAAAATTAATAAATTATATATTTAAGTTGGAGGAGGTGAGTGCGTATTTATTAGTAGTGGTTTTGATCAGGGCGGTGATGCACTTTTCCCCAATGATGGAGAGATATCTCCATTGTTCTTTC